ATCAGCAGTTTCTGAAATACTCAGACCAGCCCCTCTGGCACCAACAAACATGCCACGTTCAAAGTCACTCAAATCACCTTTCTTCCCCATACTGATGATTTGAACTGCAGGAGATTGTCTTGACCATGTCTACATGCCTAAATGCACTGAGTTGCCGCCATGTGATTGGCTGCTTAGAAATTAAGTGTTAATGAGCAGTTGGAAAGGTGTACCTAATAAAGTGGCCGGTGAGTGTATATATACAAAATCCACTGTTCAGTTCGGTTCACGGTTTCGTGGTCACGGTTTTTGGTTCGGTATATCTTTATTGTTAGGAAAATCTATTGTCTTGTATAGTACAACACGTGTTGCACAATGCTTGCACACTGTTTATGGCAAGCCTTTTTAACATAAATTCGGTTTCGTCTGACCAGCCATAATTACGTTCCAGATATCTTAAAATACATTTTGACTATCCGGAATGGTAATTTAAGATATCTGTATTTACATTCTGATTAGGAAGAATAATAATTCAAGATATCTTAAATTACATTTTGACTAGTCAAAATTCCTGTCAAGATATCTCAAATTACGACACCGGATTTGTCATTTAAAGCGTCACACGCTGATTTAACTTTTCCTCCTTTGGATTAAACTGGCAGTAAGGAATTTTTTAGGAATGATCCTCCTGGAAGCCCATTAAAAAGATCATTACACATTTTGACTAGTCAGAACGTCAGTTTAAGATATCTTTAATTGAAAAGCTGAATAATTCAAGATATCTTTAATTCATTTAGAGATATCTTAAAAAGGAATTTCGAATAGTCGAAATTACAATTCAAGATATCTTTACATTTTTTTTGTCTAGGCATTATTTGCTTTTAAGATATCTATAATTGAGTTTTTACTCAAAAAACTGCAAGCAGTTGTCAAAACTGAATATCTCCTATCCTAAAATACATTTAAGATATCATGAATTATGGTGGCATTTGAGAAATCTTTAAAACTAAAATCGAGATATCTTGAAATCACTTTATGACTAGTCGTAATTTAATCCTAGATAT